ATGGAAATCACAAGAAATGGAAATGGAAATTGCAAATAAAGGAAATGGAAATCACAAAAAAAGGAAATGGAAATCACAAAAAAGGAAATGGAAATCACAAAAGGAAATGGAAATTAAAAAAAAAGGAAGTGGAAATCACAAAAAAGGAAATGGAAATCACCAAAAAAGGAAATGGAAATAAAAAAAAAGGAAATGGAAATCACAAGAAAAGGAACGGAGATCACAAAAAAAGGAAATGGAAATCACAAAAAAAGGAAATGGAAATCACAGAAAAAGGAAATGGAAATCACAAAAAAAGGAATGGAAATCACAAAAAAAGAAAATGGAAATCGCAAAAGGAAATGGAAATCACAAGAAAAGGAATGGAAATTACAAAAAAAAAGGAAATGGAAATCATGGAGCTCTGCACAGACACCTGGGGGTGCAGTTCCCCTCTAAAGGGAAACAAACTGCTCAGGGATACCTCTAAAAAATTCAGTGTAAATCTGGAAAATTCCTTGCAGCAGCAAGGAATAACTCAGTGAAATGCAGAATTCCAATGGAAGCTGTCAATGCCCAACTTCCCAATCGCTGGCTGCAGCTAATTTGGAATTTCTTGTGTGTTTTGGCAGTGAATTATTTGGRGAAAAACCCTGACTGAGCACAGCTGGAAAAACTCCCAGGATTTGGGGTGAAACACTGAAATCCTCTCACCAATTTCATCCAGCAGCTCTTGGGGTGGTGGAGGCAGCTCATCTATGGAAGGGGGAGAGGTCTCTGAAAGAAAAAAAAATAAATTCTGGTTAATTAGCAGTGATTAATCGTTAATAACCGTGACACAGGCTTACAGTCTGATAGCATCTCACTTCCATATTTTATTGAACAGCCTGCACGAGCATGGCTCATTCACATTTTATCTCATTTTATCAAATTTTATCAAATTTTATCAAGAATTCCACTATGGAAAAACCATTTGGAGGCAAACAGGCGTGCTCAGCTGCTGCTGCAGCAGGATTTGATGCAATATTTACACTTCAAAAAAGGTTTGATTTAGAGGTCAGGGCTCTCAGTCTGCAGGTGAAAACATAAATTCATAACTTAATTAGCACCAGAGATACGTGGCTGGGTGCAAAGGTATTTGTCATGCTAGAAAGGGACATCCAGGAGTAAAAGAAGGGAAAAAAAATACATCCAGGAGTAAAAAAAAGGGAAAAAATGGGAAAAAAGAGACATCCAGGAGTAAAAAAAGGGAAAAAATGGGAAAAAAGAGACATCCAGGAGTAAAAAAAAAGGGAAAAAATGGGAAAAAAGAGACATCCAGGAGTAAAAATAAAGGAAAAAATGGAAAAAAGAGACATCCAGGAGTAAAAAAAAGGGAAAAAAAGGGAAAAAAGAGACATCAGGAGTAAAAAAAAAGGGGGGAAATGGGGGGAAAAATTAATAAACTGCAAAATTTCCTTTCAAATCTGTTTCTCTGTTTATTGATAAATTTATTTGATAAATTTATTTGAGTTGAAGCTGGAATAAAAGACTTACCAGGTGGCTGTCTGGTGTTTCTCAGGGATGAAGCAACTGGTGGCAGCCCAACCTGAGATCAAACAGAATGAAAAATGAGAAGGTAAAATTGAAAATCTGCTGCTCTTCAATCCTCCCCTTCAATGTATTAAATCCAAAATGAGGCAGAGCCTGCAATTACAGCCTTAGCTGACCATTAAATCTTAAAACAAGCTTTTCAATCAGTTCAGAATATGAAAATAGGGTAAGACTGATGTGTCAAAAATTGATTTGAGCTGCTGTGTGCTCAGTTTTCAGCTGTGAGATACCATCAGCTGCAAAACCTTTATTTCAGCACTCTGAAAGGGCAGCTGGGTGGGAATTTTCTGATCCCAGTTTCAGGATTTCTTCAGTTCTCATTCTAAATAATGAGATTATATTTCATTATTAAAGCCAGGCACGTCTGTTCATCAGAAGAGGCCCCCAAAATTGAGGATTTGTAACCAAAATTGAGGATTTGTAACCACAGGCGAGTCCTTGGTGCCCTCAGAATGGAAATGTGCTCTTAATTCCAGAAAAAGATTCAAGGCAGCTGTAAATGAGTTTAATGAATTCCAAGTTTCCATGAGTGCTGGCCCAGGAGCAGTCAGGGAAATCACACCAGGAACAGCCCTGAGCAAACCCTGATTTCATCCTGAAGTGACAACCCCAATAACAATGAAGGTGAAAAAGAAACTTTTTAATACAAAACTGTCTGCAAAGACAATTGAGATAACGCTGTGAAAGATCCTTGGAAATCCCTGCAGGGACCATGGAAAGTTTGCACCCCAAAGGGAAGGTTCTGATAGCACAAAAGTTGGTGGGGTTGGCACATTTTATGGGGACAAAACTCTGAAAAAAGGGTTCATTCAACCTTTTCGCAGGTTTTTATCATTCCCGGTGTTCCAAGGTTCCAGAGGTTGGGAAATGGCAATTCCTGACAGCCAGGGAAGGGAGGGAGGGCAGGGAAGGGTCACTCTGAGAGTCACCAACATTTACAACAATCAGGGGCAGGAGGAGCCCAAACTTCGTCTCATCAGGGGCAATTCTGCCTCGAATCCATCAGGATTTTCATCATTTTACCAACAGAGCCACAATTCCAAAATATTCCCCAACAGCCACAATTCCAAAACATTCCCACAATTCCAAAACATTTCCAAGAGCTACAATTCCAAAACATTCCAAAGAGCCACAATTCCAAATCATTCCCTGAAGAGCCACAATTCCAAAACATTCTCCAAGAGAGTCACAACTCCCAAATATTCCGAGGAGCCACAATTCCCAAACATTCCCAAGAGCTGCAATTCCAAAACATTCCCCAACAGAGCCACAATTCCAAAACATTCTCCAAGAGCCACAATTCCAAATCATTCCCACAATTCCAAACATTCCCAAGAGGCACAATTCCAAATTATTCCCCAAGAGCAACAATTCCAAAACACCTCCCAAGAGCCAGTTCCAAAATATTCCTAAGAGACACAATTCCAAAACATTCCCCGCAAGAACCACAATTCCAAAACACCCACCAAGAGCCACAATTCCAAATCATTCCTACAATTTCAAAACATTACCCAACAGCCACAATTCCAAAACATTTCCCCCCAAGAACCACAATTCCAAAATAATCCCCAACAGAGCCACAATTCCAAAACATTCCCATAATTCCAAAATATTCCCACAATTCCAAAACATTTCCCCCCAAGAGCCACAATTCCAAAACAATCCTACAATTCCAAATCATTCCCATAGAGCCACAATTCCAAAACATTCCCACAATTCCAAAACATCCCCCAAAAGCCACAAGCATTTCTCTGCTTGCATTTATTTTTACGCAAAACATTTTCAGAAATACTTTCAGGAATACTGAATAATTTTTGGAATATTATTGAATTATTGAAATTTTTTTTTTTTAAATAATTCCAATAAATTGATGGAATGAATTATTTTCTGACTCACAGGCTCCTTCATCCCAAAAGCTCTGGGAGTCACCAGTGGCAATTCCAGGCTCCTGTCCCCTTCACAGGCAGTGGTGAAAGTTTTGAAAACTGTGGAGATTTCCTGAGAGCCACAAAAGGAGGAATCTGAAGGGAATTCATGGCAGTGTTTGTATTTCTCATAGGCTGATGGGATTTTTTCATCTAAAAATAAATTAAAAACAGGGAAAAAAAAAAAAAGATTATTTTTGAATTTTTGTATCTTCACATTTCATCAGAAGCAGAAAAGAGCTTAAAGAGAACAGGCACAAAAAACTCTTTTAAGAAATTTATCCATAAAAGATCAAACTGATAACCCAGGAAACTCTTTTTAAAAAAAGAAATTTATCCATAAAAGACCAATCTGATAACCCTGAGGAATTCCACCTCAGATTTATTTTTGTAAAACTCTGCCAATGGGAAATTGCAGCTGCTGTTACACCAAATTAACAAAGCACAAAGTCAATGTGAATTTGTTCCTCCAACCATTTCAGCTCAACAAACATTTCTCATATTATTGAAATTATTAGTGACACTCAAAGCACGGTGAGAGCTAATTCCAGAGCCTTCAAAATGCCCAAATCCACCGGTTTTAAATATTAATTTT